CAAGGGCCGCGTCGAGCTCCTCTCCGCCCGCAGGACCCCGGAGGCGGCGGGCGGCGTGTACCAGAAGCTGCCGCGCTCGAGGCCGCGCAGACTCGCGCGGGGGGTGGGGGTGCGGCCGCGGAGACTGCGCGTTAGCCTGCGTGCGGCATCAGTGACCAGGGACACGAGTGTCGTCTGCACCCGACGTGACTGTAGCCAGCAGTGTTCGTGCCCGGCTCCCCTGCGTCCACTCTTCAGCCCTGCCCAAAACAGGGTGCTCTGGCCTGCCAGGCGGTGACTGCGTCCCCGTGGTCACCCGCTGATAAATGCTTGTAGGATGAGGGCATGTTTGAGATGCCCTTGGACCCACGCGTGCAGCCACACATGCCTGGGTGTGGCCCCGCGTGTGCATGACTGTGTGTGACAATGTGATGTCACTGGCCTGTGAACCCATTATGGAATGGCCTGTGATTTTGTGGTCTTCTCAGTAAACTGCTGTGTTTGCCGCTTTGTGTCTTTGTTGGGGCCTGGGTAAAGGGTGCGTGTGGGTCCCCACAGCTGGATGCAGCTTCTCCAGGGCTCCCGAGCCTCCTCCCCACCCTGGCCCGATTCCCAGCTGGCTGGAGCAGGAAGTACCTGGGCTTTGGGGTCAGGGGTGAGGAGGCTGAGACGTGCCCAGGCTGGAACCGGCCATGCCTGCCTGGTGCTGCAGGATTCCCGGGGCCGATGGCAGAACCCGGGTGGGGCTGGCAGGACTCCCGCCCATCCCTCGTGACACTGTGCTTTGCCGCCTCACCAGCCAGGGCTGGAAGGTCTGCCAGAGTGACCTATGGACTGTGGGTCTTCAGGCCACCACCCCTGCTTCTGTTGACACTGAGGCCCCAGTTCCCGTGCAAGGCTTGGGTTCTGTGGCTCTCCAGTCAGGCTCCTGTTGGGGCTGTGGGGCTGTGAGTTCTTGGGAGTGTGGCCCAGTATGGTGGGATAGGCGAAGAGAAGGGCCCCCTTGGAGTGCTGGGCTGTGGGCCAGGCCAAGGCCCCTCACCTGGCTCTGCCGCCCTGCCCTGGATGCTCTGGGGCTCTCTCCATCTCCCTGAGGAAGCTTCACAGCACTGGGGCCACAGCCTGGCTGCAGCCCAGAGGGAGCAGGGGTTGGACCCCCAGAACCTTGGGCCCACCCAAGGCTGGGGCAGGGGCAGACTGGGGGCCTTTCTGGAGGAGGGGGCTGAGTGGGGCAGGGAGCAGGGGCACGCGGGTGAGGACCTCTTACCAAATGTGAATACAAAATAATTTATTTAAAAATGTACAATTCCCGGCGGTGGGGTTGGGTGGCTGGGAAGTCTCTGCAGTTGCCTCGCGGGTGCAGGGTGGGGGAGGTTGCCCTGCCTCTGCCCTCTGTTCTCCTGTCAGAGGGGACGATTAGTCCCCCCACCCAGAGGAAAGGGCCAGGCCTGCCAGGGGAAGGGGTCTGGGGGAGGACAATGGGTGAAATGTTAGAGTGCAACGCAGGATGGGAGCCCCCGCCCCAGCAAAGGGCTGCCCCGCAGACGGTTCACAGTGTGTGTGGGGACGGGAGGGCTCGCCGGGCTCTCTCCCGGGCCTTCTTCCACATCTGCAAGATGGGAGTCGGGGGGCGGTGTCTGGGGCCCTGGGGTGCTTAGAGACTTTGGGGACCTTTACGTACATTCTGTCCATCCCATCAAGACCCAGCCCCAGCAAGTGAGGGGCAGGCGTGCTGAATGGGGTACAGTCTCAGTGGGGTCCACATGGGCCCTCAAAGATGTTGAGGCTCCTTTGGGGTCCCTGGAGACTGACTTCCAGCAGCTGCTGTGCCCTTGACTCCAGCTGTCAGGTGGACATACCCACGGAGCTGGGCCACAGGCTGGTGACCCCGGTTGTCCGTCAGAGGCCTGAGGGAGAAGGGAGCATGGAGGCGGTGGTGGCCGCGGGGGTCCGGGGGAGGCAGTGCAGGTTCCCAGTCCTGAGCGCACACTGCACGGGCCACAGCACCACGCAGAAGAGCAGCAGCAGCAGGGCCGAGATGAGCGCCAGGCGCCTCCAGTCCCCACAGCGGGCCCAGCAGCGGGCCAGGCGGCCCCGGTGGCGGGCAGGGCCCAGGGCTGGCACGGGCGCAGCGGGCTCAGCGGGCTTGCTCAGGCCCACGTCCACGCACAGAAAGTCAGGCGCCGCGTGGCCAGGCGTGGCGAGCAGCGGGCGGCAGCACAGCTTGGTGCCCTCCAGCCACACCTGCTCCTCCTGCCGCAGGTGCGCCGGCATCCGGGCCTGCAGCTGGCGGCTGGTGCGCAGCGCGGGGGCCCCGGCGGCTGGCACGGCTGTGGGATGCCGGCAGAATGGGCAGGGCACAGCCTCGCCGCCTGAGCTGCCTGTTGGCTGGGCGGCCGCCAACCGGGCCAGGCACTCCAGGCAGAAGACGTGGGTGCAGGAAAGCTCCTTGGGGGTCTTGAAGATGTTGTCGTATCCCGAGAAGCAGATGGAGCACTCCAGCGGGGATGCCACCTTCTCCGAGCCAGGGGTGCTCAGTGACCGGGGGCTGCCCACCGAGCTAGGGGACCGGGGGCTGCTCGCCGAGCTGGGGAACCGGGGGCTGCCCGCCGAGCTGAGGGACCGGGGCTGCCCACCGAGCTAGGGGACCGGGGGCTGCTCGCCGAGCTGGGGAACCGGGGGCTGCCCGCCGAGCTGGGGGACCGGGGGCTGCCCGCTGAGCTGGGCGACCAGGTGACCGTGGCTGTGCACCTGCTCTGGCCGGGCGGTGGCACAGCCGTGTGCCACACCTGCTGCTCTGATGACATGGCTCTGAGCTGTGGGACACACAGAGATCACTGTGAGTGACCACAGGCTGCCCCTTTCTTCTGAGGTCAGTTTGTCACCCTCTGCTTCTCCTTCTCTTTTGCCCAGCCCCAGCCCCAAAGGCCCTAGGGAAGGGCACTGTCCACCTGTGGGCACCTCCAGAGAGACCCCTCCATGCCCCCTGGAGGTCTTTTGGCCCATGTCACCCTTCCCTCTCCATGTTCTCACACGGCTGGCCAGAAGAACCCCGGGTACCCAGAGGGGCTCTGGGAACGGAGGCTGTGTGCGTGGGGTCACGCTGACCACTCAGAGGACGCTTCCTGCCTACGCTGCCCAAGAAGGAATAACGGCGATGGTGACAATGGCCCATGATGGCTGATGTTTACACCAGGGCTCCACATGTCCGGACCCACGTCATGGGATGCTCATCCCAGCCAGTGTGGAAAAGGCAGCTTGGAGGGTGGGGTGACTCAGCCAGGGTCACGACCGAGATGCCCGCGGGACCTGGGCTGTACAGGGTGCGGCTCATGGGCGGGCCTGTGGCTCTGGCTTGGGTGAGGTGGGCTTGGGCTCGGATCCCAGCATGGGTGCCAGATTTTCAGGCAGCTGTGTGAGCATGGGCAGCAGGGTCTCTGGGGGGGCCTGGGGAAGATTTCTGGAACCCATGGGGCCAGCTTGTCTGGCTGGTGATGACGGTCTGGTGCCAGTGGCCAGGGCCTAGACATGCTTCCTAGCCCATGGCCAGGGGTGTGGATGCAGGTGAACCTCAGCCATCCTCTCTGGGCCAGCCCACCACCCCGCCATGCCAAGGCACCACGGCTGCCTCTCAGGGAGGAAGTGGGATGTGCGGGGTCTTCCTCCCCCTGCCCCTCCCCTGGGCTCAGGTCTCCACCCCCGGGAGCCACAGGTACACCTGGTCCTGATGACTCATGCCACAGGGGTCCTGCCCGGAGAAGAGTGGGTAAGGGGGCAACTTTTTTTTCATCTTTGCCATGAATCTCAGAGGCTTTGGCCATGTGACCCCACAGAGCCCAGGATGCCACCCCAGAAGTGACCCCTGGCACTGCCTGGCCCATCCCTGACTCATTGGCCAGTCCCAGGCAGGCCAGGTGGAATGTCTCAGGTGATGCCACATAATCGCAGTGACCACCATGAGTCACGGTGACATCACTGTGATGTCATACGAGCTCCAAGCACCCGGCATGTGATGTCATGGCATCCTCAGGCCAGGCAACGGTCGTGGCAGGGTCTGGGGGGGACCGCAGGACTGTCTTTCCCCAGCCTGTGCACTCCACAGAACTAGTTCCCTGGCACCAGGCCCCACCCCTCTGCGATGGTGCCCCACCCCAAGCCTGTAACAGGTGAGAGGTAAGCTGAACTGGCCTTACTTGGCAGCTGGGGCTCAGCGGGTGCTGGGCATGGTCCTCTTGGCCGGCCGTGGTCAGGCTCTGAGGCTCCAGGCTCCCCTGCTCAGGCAGCGTTGGCTCCCTGTTCTCCAGGCCCGGCCCGGCCTGTGCTCTGCTTGGCAGCTGTCCTGTGGCACCGGTCCGGCAGGTGCGCCAGGCAGGGCACCGGGGCATGTGTGTGCTCTTCCAGGCGTGGAGCTCACCGGCTGAGGCGGGTGTGAGTTCCTGGGCGTGGGCTCCTGGCAGGTGCATTTATACCCTCCTGCTCATGCTGGCCAGGGGTGCGGCCTGGCTCAGGGATTGGCTGGCCACCTGTCCTTTCCCTGGCAGACTGCGCGGCAGAGGGCGGGAAGTCAGGCAAGGGCCAGAGCCAGGTGGGCGTGGGGTCCCTGGGGCCTCCACAGCCCGGCAGGTCTGGTAGTGGATGCTTGAAGAAGCCCCTGTCCCCCTGCGGCCCCAGGAGGCTGGAGCACCCCTCCGGAGGTAGGTCCACCCACCCTGCTCCAGGTTCCTGCCTGCACCTGAGCTTCTGGGTGGGCCTAGCCGTGCCCTGAGCCCCCACGTCCACATGCACGGTCTGAGCCTCGCTTGTCACCCCACCCTGTCCTCCTGTACTCACTGATGCTGTGGGCAGCCCTCGCTCATGCCCCTTCCCCCTGACACCCACCCCTGGGCCTCACCAGCCTCATCCACACACTCTCCCGCGTGACCCCACACATCTGCACACCCTCACGTGCCCCACGTCCACATCCACGTGCCCCATGTCCACACACACACACGTGGTCTCCATGTCCACACACTCCTACACGCATGCCCAGGTCCACATGCTCTCACACGTGTGCTCCCCATGTCTACAGGCACAGCCCTCCAGACTTGTGCTTCTGCTGCCCCAGTGCCCCCTCCCCAGCCTGCAGCCTTTGGGAGCTGGAAGAAACCCCCTGCTCTGGGGTCCACGGAGTGGGCTGAGAGTCAGGGCTGGGCAGGGGCTGGGCAGCAACCCCGAGGGGTGGGGTCAGAGGTGAAGACCAGTTAGGGACCCAGGCTGGTCACAAGGACTTGTTGCAGTGAGTGCCTACTGGGGCACCCTCTGCTACACACTGCAGGGCAAGGACCCTGGAGCCTGAGGAAGCCCCCAACCCAGCCAGGAGATCCAGGAAACTTCCTGGGAGGTAGGGAGCAGCTTTACCAGTCCTAGCAGACCACAGGGCCTGTCTGTGCAAAGGCTGGGGCTGGGGGCTGGCAGGGCTGGGGTGGAGGCGGGGTGCTGCACCTCAGGGGGACAGGGCCTAGGAGAGTAGCCAGTGGCACGGACTGGCCCTTGCCCCCCCCCATGCCCAAGGGCCCGGTGTGGGCCGAGATGTCCCTGCCATTCCCCACCCCATGCTGACCTGCCGCTGGCTCACCTGCTCCCTGAGGCACAGTGGACCTCAGTGCACGAACGAGCTGGACTCTTAGGGTGTGGACCCCTCTTGCTGGGCGTGAGCCCAGGACCCCGCACAATGGGGATGTGGCACTTGGTGAGGCTAGGAGTGGGGCTGTCGTGGTGGGAGCATGGCTCAGCCCAGCCCCACAGGCTGGCCCCAGGCACCCACCCACCTGCAGGTGCCCACCAACCACTTCAGCAGCAGCATGGGACCCCCAGAGGCCTCTCCTCAGTGTGGCTTCTGGTGCCCAAGGCCAGGATTCAGAGGGAGCCTGAGATGTGGGGGACTGGCTGGGGGCTGGTCCCTGCAGAAGGCGAGGAGGGGGCCGAGGCTCCCCTGCCTGTTCCATGGTGGGGACGATTCTCAGTGAGGGGCCCAGGGAGGGGGTGGGGCCTACAGAGGGGTGGGAACCCAGACAGAGGGCTTGGGGCTCTACGAGGGGGAGCCAGGACAAGCGCATGGTGGGATGGAGGCTCCTGTTTCCGTGAGGATAGTGACTCCGGGTCACATGCCGTCTCCAGGAAGTGGCCTGGGTACCTGCGGCTCTGAGAACATCCTCCCGAGCGCTCCTGGGAATATCTGAGCTCTGAGATCACTGGAGCTCCTCTGTGGAGTCAGCGCCTGGAAGCCCAGGTGACGGGAAGACCTGAGGATCGTGCAGGGTGTGGCTGGGCCGCACTGCGCGAGGCGGGGCCGGGGCCCTCCCTTCTCCCAGCCCAGACCCGCGCTGCTGGAGGCGCTGCGGATTCGAGAGGCTCAGCCTCGGCCAGCTGTGTGGGGGACAGCAGGTGAGTAACAGGAGCCGGGAGCGAGCGAGTGGGTGTGCGCACACCAACATGCTGGCTGGGCTGAGTGTGCGAGCGTGTGAGGGCCTGGGGCTCCCTGGACAGGTCCTCGCCTCCCCTCACCGTGGCTCCCAGAGGACAGGGGGTGTCCTGGGCGGGACTCAGAAGTTGTCCCTGGCCCGGAGAGCCAAGGAAGTGACCCTGGCCCCGTCCCCCCACTCCCAGGGCTGGGGGACAGAACAGACTTCAAGTCCCTGAAGCTGCCATGCCGGGGACAGGTATGGCCAGTGCGGGGAGAGGCCCTGTAGCTCACCTGGGTCCCACCTGCCCGGTGCTGGACTCTGCCATCCTGCAGGTGAGGCTTGTCTGCACACCACAGCTGGCTCTGTGGGCTCCAGGTAGGAAGTTGCCCAGGCGTGGAGGGCTGGCTGCACAATGGGGCAGGCACACGCTGGGCTGGGGCAGGTGGGCTCTGGGGTGGGTGTGTGCACTCGGATCTAGCCTTTGGTCCCAAGCCAATGGGCAGGGACTAGGTCAGCACTGTTCCTCCTGTGCCAGGCAGTGAGAGCAAGGTCCCCAAATGCCAGCTGACTGCCCCTCCCTCAGAACCCACCACCTGTCCCCATCCCACGTGGAGTCCTATGGGATGCGGTGCCTGGGCATCCCCAGGCTGCTGGCCAGGACCCCTACCCGATCTCCCCTCCTCAGGCCCCGCTCAGTCTGGGTCTGTGCACCCACCCCAAGCACTGCTCTGGCTGACCTCTAACCTCTGACCTTGGTATGTTCTAGGTACTTCTCCCAGTGCTGCCCAGTGAGCGAGTGAGGGGTGGGCCTGGGGAGCGACAGTGGGGGGCCCAGGCTGCAGGAGGGACAGGGAGGCTGCAGTGATCCTGGTGTCCAGTTTGGGCCACAGGTGGGAGGCGACGGTGGAGGCCCAGAAGGGAGAAGGGGCCTGGGCGGGTGGCGCAGAGCGAGCTGGGGAAGGCAACCTGTCTGTCCAGCCTGGCCGGACTGGGGAAGACGGACTGGCCGGACCTGCTGTCAAGGTCAACACGGCTTTGCGTCTGCTTTGTTCAAGTCCAAGCCCAGCTTGGTGTCAACAGGGGAGCAGGGATCTTCCCCTCCGTGGGGTCTCTGCCTCCCTCCCCGCAGGGGCTGTGGGAGAGACTCTGCCACGGAGGAGGGTGGCCACAGAGCGAGATGAGCGTGGGGGTTCCCGCGTGGCAGGCGCTGGGGCGAGTCAGCATCCGGGCCATGGTTGCAAAGCCACGGGTGAGGGGCTCCCCGAGTGGCCCCAGGCTGGACGAGGCTGGTTCCTGTTTCCCCAGGACCAGGCAATCGCATCATGGGGGTTGGGGCCTCCCCTCCCTGCCTCTGCCCTGCGGAGCGTTTCTCTTTTCACGGTCCTTGAGGGCAGTGTGGACCCTGACACCTGCCACACCCACCTCCACCTGGGCCCCCTCTCACGAAAACGAAAGAATGGCAGTGCCCACAGGGCCCTGCTGCTGACGGGGCTGGCACTGGGAGGAGTGGGGCAGGGAACAGAGGCTCCATTTGGCCCCAGGGACTCTGCCCCACACGAGCCTGGAGGCCTTGGTGGCTGCCCCCAAGGTCCCTTCCCACTTCCCATCAGAAACACATGGGGTCACCTGCCCCCCATGGGCCACGAAGTGGTCACTGACTCCCACCCCTGCTGCAGATGCTAGTCCAGGGACTGGCATGGAGCTGGAGGGGCAGCTTCCCTCCCTGCCACAGCCGGTGCTGGGAAGGACTGAGGATCCCTCTGAAGTCCTTGGGCAGCTCAACTGCTCTTCACATCCTGCATCGAAGGCGTGTTGCTAGGTCCCCTCCTGGGCTGTGGGGAGCCCCACACTGGGCCTGCAGGACCTTGCTCCTGACACTCCTCTGTGGCCCAGGTGCCCCATGGCTGCAAACCTCAGGCTGGGCATCCCCAGGGATGGCAGCAGTGGGTGTCTAAGGACATGAACCTCCAGACCAACAGTGGGCAGAGGAGGGCACGGTCACCAATGCAGGGACAGCACCGTGAGCCCCCACTTGCTCTCTGCCCTACTCTGGGCAGACCCTTGGAGCTCAGCTCCTCCAAAGAGCCAGCCACCACGGGCTTGGGCGGGACCAGGAGGCAGAGGACCCTGCTCTGAGGGGGTTCCAGCCCCCAAAGTACCCTTTTGCAGCCTCTTCCTGGGGCCCCTGCCTGCACGACCCCCACCAGGCCTGAGCCTTTTACAGAAGAGCCCCCAGAGAGGCACCACATCTTTCCCATCTCAGGTCCTCACAGAGGGCCTCTGGGGGGGTCTCATTTGCACCAGGCAGCATGGGGCAAACCCCCACCCCCAGGGAAAACATCGTGAGGGGTGAACTGAGGCTGCATTCAGGGAAGGGCCTGGCAGAGGACGGGGGTGGGATGTCCTCCTGCCTTCCAGGTCCCGGACCAGGCAGCAGGTGGTGGGGGTCCTGGACCTTGCTGAGCCGGGGGGGGGTGGTCCTGTGCCCTGCCTGCCCTTAAAGAGGACAGAGGCTCCTTAGAACGGAGAGACAGCAATGGAGGGGAAAAGCTCTGAACAGTTTATTTGGCGCCAACTTTACATCAACACCGCCACCCCACTCAAGTTTTGCATGGAATCACTGAGCGAGCTGCTGTCAATGCCACCATGATATAAACGGGTACTGCGGTGCAGAGGAACGTGGGAGACCTCCGGGTGGTCAGGCCAGCCGCATAGTCCCCATCTCAGGCCCCTCCAACATGCACCAGACATTAAAGGAGACAAAGACAGTCTTCACCGGGATCCAGGCCCAACAGATGAGCCCAGTGCTCGGAAGGTGGCCACAGTCTCCTTTCTCCACAGAAGCCACAGGCCACCTGCCACCAGCCAAGCTGGAAACAGAGCAGTACCTGGCGGGTCTGGGAAGCCTGCACAGGACCACCAGACTCGGACCACCAGCTAGCATGGCCCCTGGCTGGTTCAGCGAGGCCCGTGACCCATGGCGTTTGGGTGCAGGGGCCCCATGGGTGGACGTGTCACCGTGAGTGCCTGGCCCTGGGCTGCAGCAGCCTCAAGCTGGCGTCACTGCCCAGAGCCCAGCCCTGGGTGGATGAGGATCTGCCAGGTGGGGCCCAGGGTGTGGGGATCAGAGGACTTTCCTGCACAATGAAGTTCTGCTTAGAAACAGAAAGGAGTCAACAGAAGCCGGGAAACTGGATTCTGCAGCTCCTGGGAACGTGTGGTCGGGAGCCTGAGGGTCTCGGCTGTGGCCGGAGCAGGACAGCCCTGAAGGCGCCTCAGTCTCAGCAGCTGACTCCCAGGCCACCGCCTCCTTGATGGCCAGGCACTGGCTAGAACACTACACAGGCCCTGGCCTCACTTCTCTGAGAGGGTCTTAGGGCCACTGGGCCTGGTGGTGCTAGAGGGCTCCTGCCATCACAGGGTCCAGAGGGCGGAGCGGCTGAGACCCCTGGCTTTTCCAGGAGCAGAGCAGCCAATGGCCCTGCGGGCTGTGCGGTTTTGGCCGTTTGGGCCAGGACTATCTTGGCTGTTGCTGCAGGGACCTTGCTATGTCTCCTAAAGGGCCTAGACCCTGCACTGCCTCCCTCCTGAGCCCTGAGACCTCGTGGACGCCTGCGCCCAGTCCGTCAGACCAACCAGCTGTGCTGGGAAGGAGGGACCTTCAGGCAGCTGGGTGGGGGTGGGGACACAGAGCCAGGGCCCATGTCCCAGCTTGTCTTGAGCCCCAGATGACGCTGGCCCTTCCCATGCTGGGCTCCTCCAAGGGTCCGGCCTCAGGCCTGTGCTGCTGCAGCAGGTGGTGGCCTCTTGGCCTCTAGGTCAGACATTGCTGATGCGGGCCTCCACTGAGGGGAAGGCAGCGGGTTCCCTCGCCCTGTCCGGGGGCCGCTCGCGCCTGACGTAGCGTGGCTTCCGCACTGAAACGGGGTCAGAGACAGGCTGGGTCAGCATGGGGCCTGCACAGTAGGGACAACACAGGTCTCAGCCCTTGCCAGAGGCTCTCGGGAACGGGTATGGAGCAGACAAGGGGTACATCTGCTCTGACCAGGGAGAAAACCTGATGCTCCCCTGCCCCTAAAGCTCCCACCAAGGTCTGGTTTATAAAAAGGGATGGTTTCCGGGCCGGCCCGTGGCTCACTTGGGAGAGTGCGGTGTTGATAACACCAAGGCCACGGGTTCGGATCCCATATAGGGATGGCCGGTTTGCTCACTGGCTCAGCGTGGTGCGAAAACACCAAGCCAAGGGTTGAGATCCCCTTACCGGTCATCTTTAAAAAAAAAAAAAAAAAGGGATGGTTTCCGGGCCGGCCCGTGGCTCACTTGGGAGAGCGCGGGGTTGATAACACCAAGGCCACGGGTTCGGATCCCATATAGGGATGGCCGGTTTGCTCACTGGCTCAGCGTGGTGCGAAAACACCAAGCCAAGGGTTGAGATCCCCTTACCGGTCATCTTTAAAAAAAAAAAAAAAAAGGGATGGTTTCCGGGCCGGCCCGTGGCTCACTTGGGAGAGCGCGGGGTTGATAACACCAAGGCCACGGGTTCGGATCCCATATAGGGATGGCCGGTTTGCTCACTGGCTCAGCGTGGTGCGAAAACACCAAGCCAAGGGTTGAGATCCCCTTACCAGTCATCTTTAAAAAAAAAAAAAAAAAAGGGATGGTTTCCTCCTGAAAAAACGCTGAATGCTTCCTCTCATTCAGGTCCCAGACCCTGCACCCAAGCTCCGGGACCAGATGAGGCCCAGCTCCCCCATGAGACAGAGGTGCAGTCATGTCTCCATTGTGCACTGAAGGGGCTGCATGGGCCCCAGAGATATGATCACGTCCTTGGCCCAGGGCCTGCGAATGGGACCTTATTTAGAAAAGGGTCTTTGCAGGTGGGATTAAGTCAGGATCTCAGATGAGACTGTCCTGCATTACTCAGGTGGGCCCTAAATCCAGTGACCAGCATCCTCCCAAGGCAGGCAGAGAGGAGGAAGAGGCTGTGTGAGCAGGAGCCCGGGCTGGCAGTGGCAGGAGGCGCCTGCCCTGGTGTGTCCTTCACCCTCACGCTGATTTCTAACTTGTGACCTCCAGAACTGTCAAAGGGTAAATATCTGTTGTTCAGGCCACCTGGTTTGTGATGTTTTGTTATAACAACTCCAGGACACTCAGGCATTGAGATATTCAAGATGCTCATAGACAAAGCTACTTTAGAGAAATCAGACAAGTGCCATATGGAACCCTGATCAAAAAACTGCTTTGTTCCCAAAGGAGAGGGATGCTATCACCTGTCCCTGATGGAGTTTGGATGTGTTGTCCCCTCCAAAACTCATGTGGAAATTTGATCTCCAATGTGGCAGTGTTGGAAACTGATTGAGTCGTGGGGGCAGATCCCTCATGAATGGATTAATGCTCTCCCTGGGGGAGGGGGGAGGAGTGAGTAAGTTCTTGCTCTATTAGTTCCCACGAGAGCTGGTTGTTTATAAGACCCTGGCACCTCTCCCTCTCCCTCTCTCTCTCTCTCTCTCTCTCCCTCTCCTCTCTCCCCCCCCTCCTCTCTCTCTCTCTCTTGCTTCCTCTCGCCATGTGATCTGCCTGTACCTGCTGGCTCCCTGCCACTTTCTTCCATGAGTAGAAGCAGCCTGAGGCCCATGCCAGATGCAGCTGTCCCAGAATCATAAGCCAAATAAACCTCTGTTCTGGGCCGGCCCGGTGGCGCACTGCTACAGTGCGCTGCTTGGGAGTGCGGCGGCGCTCCCGCCGAGGGTTTGGATCCCACATACAGACCGGCGGCTCACTGGCTGAGCGAGGTGCGGGCAACACCAAGCCAAGGGTTAAGATCCCCTTTCCGGTCATCTTTTTTTTTTTTTTTTTT